AAAAAGAATGGTTCCAGACAGGTCAAAAGCACACAGGGGGCTGGGAATGTGGCTTAGTGGTAGAGTGCTTGCATAGTATGCATGAAGCTCTGGGTTCTATTCCTCAGTACCACATAAACAGAAAATGTCAGAAATGTTGATTCAAGTGGTATAGTGCTAGCCTTGAGCTGAAGCAACTCAGGGACAGTGCCCACACTCTTATTCAAACCCCAGGACTGGCAAAAAAAACAAGAAACATAGGTACCTGTTTGTTCCCTCCTCCCGCCCAGTCCTGGGGTTTGAACTCAGGGTCTGGGCACTGTCTCTGAGCCTCTTTGTGCTCAATGCTAGCTAGGCTCTACCACTTTAACCACAGCACCACTTCCCGTTTTTGAGTGGTTAATTGGAGTTAAGAATCTCAAGGGGACTTTTCTGCCCAGGCTGGTTTTGAACCTCCATACTCCAATCTCAGCATCCTTAGTAACTAGGATTACAGGTGTGAGCCATCGGCATCCAGCTTAGTACTTATTTTTAATCACTCCTCTATAATTTAAAAAGTACAGAGTTCAAGCCTCAGACTGGCACAAAAAACAAAGCTACTTGGGGAAAAAAATTCCCAACTAGACAAAATATTTATAGCTTGATAAGGAACTTAAGTTAATTAGTAAGTCACTAAATAAAGTTATTTCACAGAAGAAACAACACGTTTGATGCAGGTGGCTCATGCCTGTACTATCTTGAAACTGAGATCTAAGAATTGTGGTTCAAAGCTAGCCAGGACAAGAAAGTCAATGATATTCACCTCCAATTAACTGTTAAAAATAGAAAGGTTGGTTGGGGCTGGGAAGGTGGCTCAGTGGTAGAGTGCTTGCCTTGCATGCATGAGGACCTGGGTTCGATTCCTCAGCATCACATAAGCAGAAAAAGTGGTGGAGGTGGTGCTGTGGCTCAAGTGATAGAGCACTAGCCTTGAGCTCAAGAGCTGAGGGACAGTGCCCAGGACCAGAGTTCAGGCACAATGACTAGAAACAAAAACAAAAACAAAAAAAAAAGAAGAAAAAGAAAAAAGAAAGGGTGGGAATGTGGCTTATTGGTAGAGTGTTTACCTAGCATGCGTGAAGCCCTGAGTTTGATTCCTCAGTACAATATAAACAGAAAAAGCCTAAAGGGGCCCTGTGGAGCAAAAGCAGCTCAGGGACAATGCCCAGGCCCTCAGTTAAAGCCCCAGGATTTAGGGGGAAAAAAAGGTACCAAAATTTTTTTCTTTCAACTTACTTAAGTTATTATGAGTTGGATAAACTGACAAGTTGAATTACAACTTTTGTAGAACAAGAATTTTCATTTTTGAAGTATTTATCTGAACTTTTTTTTTTTTAGCTGGTCATGGGGCTTGAACTTGGCCTGGGTGCTGTCCCTCAGCTCTTCAGCTCAAGGCTAGTGCTCTACCACTTGAGCCACAACTCCACTTTTGGTTTTCTAGTGCTTAACTGGAGAGAAGAGACTCCTGGACTTTCCTGACTGGGCTAGCTTTGAACCATGATCCTCAGATCTCAGCCTCTTGAGTAGCTAGGATTACAGGTGTGAGCCACTGGTGCCTAGCTTTTAGTCCATTTTTTTACACGTTACACAGGTACAGTGGCTTGAAGTTGGCCTCATAAAAGTTTGGATTTTCCAATCAAGGTTGGGGCCCTACCACTTGAGCTAAATCTCCACTTCTGCTTTTCTGCCAGTTAATTGAAGATTCAGGGATTTGTTTGTTTAGGCTGGTTTCAAAACTGGAGCTTCAAAGCTGGGCGCTTATCTCCAATAAACCACCAGAAAACAGGAAGTAGCACAGTGGCTCAAGTAGTAGAGCCCTAGCCTTCAGCTGAAGAAGGCAGGGACAGTACCCAGGCCCAGAGTTCAAGCCCCACAACCAACAACAACAAAAAACAAAACAAAACAAAAAGGAGCTTTAGATCTCAGTCTGAAAAGTCATTAGGATTACTAGCACTAGTCACCAGCGAATTTAGGCCAATTTAAACGAGGTATTTAATTCCCAAAAGGCAAATAGCTATTGTACTCTATTAAGTCATGTTGCTAACCCAGACAATTCACCTTCTACTTAAAATTTCAAGGTATAAAGACATGAGGCCTGGACTGGGAAGGTAGCTTAGTGGTAGGGTGCTTGCCTTGCATGCATGAGGCCCTGGGTTCAATTCCTCAGCATTACATAAGCAGAAAAACCAGAAGTGGTGCTGTGGCTCAAGTGGTAGAGCACTCACCTTGAGCTGAAGAGCTGAGTGACAGCACCCAAGCCCAGCGTTCAGGCCCCATGACGGACCAAAAAAAAAAGATACGAGGCCTTAAGCCGGGTGCCGGTGGCTCATGCCTGTAATCCTAGCTACTCAGGAGGCTAAGATATGAGGATAACGGTTCAAAGCTGGCCTTGAGCTGAAGAGCTGACAGCACCCAAGCCGAGTTCAAACCCCACGACTGACAAAAACATAAAAAGAAAAAATGTTTATATATGAAGCCTTTAAGGAAGTTGTGCTGTGGCAAGTGTAGAGTGCTAGCCTTGAGCTGAAGAACTGAGGGGCAGAGTCCAGGCCCAGAGTTCAAGTCCCACGACCTACAAAAAAATTAAAATTAAAGGGGCTGGGAAGTTGGCTCAGTGGTAGAGTGCTTGCCTCCCATGCATGAGGCCCTGGGTTTGATTCCTCAGTACCACATAAGCAGAAAAAAGCTGGAAGTGGTGCTGTGTCTCAAGTGATAGGGCTCTAGCCTTGAGCAGAAGAGCTAAGAGATAGACAGCATCCAGGCCCAGAGTTCATCCCTAGGACCAACAAAATAAATAAATTTGCCAGGAAGTCCCATCATGGCTCAAATGGTAGAGTGCTTGCCTTGAGCTGAAGAGTTCAGGGACAGGCCCAGAGTTTAAGCCCCATGACAGGGGGGAAAAAAACTGCCAGGCACGTCAGGAGGCTGAGATCTGAGGATCAAGGTTCAAAGCCTGCCCAGGCATACTCTGATCTCCAATTAACCACCAGAAAACGGGAAGTGGCACTGAGTCTCAAGCGGTACAGCACTAGCCTTGAGCTGAAGAGCTCAAGGACAGTGCCCAGGCCCAAAGTTCAAGCCCTACGACAGACCAAAAAAAAAAAAAAAAAGAAAAAAAAGATGTGAGGCCTCTAAGACTGGCATTCCTTGCCATACCGACTCTCCAAGAACAAGCTGTTTTATACAAAAATTTTCTTTTGGCCTGGGGATATAGCTTAATGGTAAATGGTAGAGTTTTCCTATCATGTGAGAGGCCCTGGATTTAATTCCAAATACTTTTTATTTTTAAATAAAAATACAAAAACGGGAGGTGCATTGGTGGCTCCTGCCTATAATCCTAACTATTCAAAAGGATGAGATCTAAGGATTGAGGCTGGAAGCCAGCCTAGGCAGTTAAGTTTTGGAGGCTCTTATCTCCAACTAATACAGAAAAAGCCAGAAGTGCTAGCCTTGCGCAAAAGGAACTTAGGGACAGCATTTAGGCCTAGAGTTCAAGGCCCAGCCCCCGCAAAAAAATAAAACACAAAATCGGGCCCCAGTGGTTACTCAGGAGGTTGAGATCAGAATGAGCTGGAAGCCACACGGAGCTGCAAAGTCCAGCTAACCACCAAAAAAGCTGGAAGTAGAGCTGTGGCTCAAGTGGTATAGTGCAAGGCTCCGAGTTCAAGCTCCAGGACTGGCACACAAAAATAAAACATACTAAAAGTACACATTTATTTTGGGGGGAGAGGGTAGTGGATTTTTTACTCAAGGCCTCCTGCTTGGCACACAAGTTCAGCCACCTGAGCCACACCTCTACTCTAGAAGATCATTTTGGGGAGGCAGGGGGTGGGGATTCCTTCCACAATTCTTATACCCTTTACAGTACACTACATGTTTTCCTCAGTCATCAACTGCCTGTGGAGCAGCCTTATCCACTTATATCTCTATGAAAACCTTTAAAAGCGTAATACTTAAAAAAAAAAATAACTCAATTGTTCTCTATAACCTAACCTTTTTTGAGGCAGTTGACATTCAAGACATAAAAATATGTTCTAAGATCTAAAAACCTTCTTCTGAGAAAAATGTAGTCTGGAAAAGGATGTGTCCTTCCCTCCCCCCCCCCCCCACATAAAATTTTAACCGGTTCAAATCAGCAAGAACTTCTTTTAACCTAATAAAAGTTAGATGGTTAAAAAAAAAATTACATAGCTATTTCATCCTCACCCTGAAAGAGAATGAAACATCACCTGAAGCTCATTGTGGACCCCAGAAAATGTCCACAAAGTATCTTTCCACTCGACACGTGCTGAACTACCAACTCAATGGTAGCAACTCCTTCCTGCCAGGGGAGCTAAGGCGTTTGAGCGACCTTCGTTTTTGTTTTGTTTTTCCAAGAGACTGGAGTCGGGAGGAGGCCTGCAAGGACCCACACTCAAGAAAGCGAGAGCCAGGAGAGGAAGTGGAAGTTGTGGCGACGGCGTGGCCTCCCTCGAGTTGCCTAGCAGTGGAGGCCGCTCAGGGCGGAGGGCCGCGTGGCGCCGCCGGGAGACCCAATCAGTTCTTGGGGGGTTCCCAACACAGGTGCAGTCGGCCTCGGCGGCCCAAGAAGCCACGGGGCCCTCTCCACCAGGGTCCACGCCTCCCCGGGGCCGCATGGCGGAAAGCGCCCAGACCTTAGGCCTAGGGTGAAGTTCCCAAGAGTTCCGAGCAGCCCACACTGCCCGAAAGGGGAAAAGTGCGCTTTCTGAAACCGGGAAAGCGGCAAGGAGATGGGAAAAGCACACATCAGGAGGAAAAATGTCCTCCACCCGCCAACGGTAACCGGAACTAGGATCTCGGACCCCCCCCCCCCACCCCCACCCCCCACACACCAGGACGACGGCCACCGCGGAGCCGCGAAAGCCCAGGGCCGCACGAGGGGGAGGCCGCTCCCCGGGCGCCCCCAGAGCGGCCTCCACCTAACTCCCGGCGACCTTCCCGCGGAGGGATGTCGCACTCACATGGTGAATGGGGCAGGGGGACGGGCGAACGGGTGGGCGGGCCTCTCTAGCGGCGGCGGCAGTGGAGCCGACTCCTCTCCGGTGGCGACTCCGGCGTTTTCTCTCGGGTCGCGGCCTCTTCTCGCTCCCCTCAGGCGAAGGCAGCGGTGGCGGCGGCGGCGGCGGCGGCGGGATCGACCTCGATTCCCAGAATGCACCGCGCGCGAGAGCGGCTCCTCAGTCGAAGAGGAGAGGAAAGTGTAGGAAAAGGGGCGCGAGGACGGAGAATGAACGTGCGTGCGTGCGAGCTAGGGGTGGTGAGGCCGGGCGGCGGCTGGTGACGCAGCAAAATGCCCGGGCCTTGCCGCCGCGCGTGCGCAGTCTTTGTTTTGGGGCTCCTGCGCGGCTTTCTAGAGATCTCTACGGAAAAGGCGGGGCCTCCCAGCTCCTTGCGATCCTTCCTGTGCCGGCCCCGCCCTTCGTCCTTACTCCCTGCCCCCTCCGGGCCTGACTCTATCCCGCCTCTGCTCCCGCGCTCCAGTCTCGCGTTAGAAAACCGTTGGTCCCCTAACGAACCGCTCTAGCTCGAGCCCTGCGCGCGATTTTCCCCTGGAACGGCTGGGCTCGCTGTGGGAGGAAATCCCAGGCGGAGGGGCGCCGGGTTTGGAGACTTCACCCCCAAGTGGGCCATGGGTTTTATTATTATTATTATTAATAATAATAATAATCTTTTCGGCTTTGGGTGCCAGTCCTGGAGCTTGCACCCGGGCTGGGCGCTGTCCCTGAGCTTTTTGCTCAGAGCTAGCTCACTACCACTTCAGTCACAGCTGCACTTCCGGATTTTTGGTGGTTAATGGGAGATGAGTGTCACTGACTTTCCTGTGCTGGCTGGCTTCGAACCTAAGATCCTCCATCTCAGCCTTCTGACTAGCTAGGATTACAGGCGTGAGCCACCTGCTCCCAGGTTGCCACTGGTTAAATATTTTTGAGGGAATAAACCAGACCTCGAGGAAACACTCCTTCAAAAAGAGGCCAGGGGCTGGGAAGGTGGCTCCGTGGTGGAGCGCTTGCCTCGCATGCGTGAAGCCCTGGGTTCGATTCCTCAGTACTACATACACAGAAAAAGCCGGAAGTGGCGCTACGGCTCAAGTGGTAGAGTGCTAGCTTTGAGCAAAAGAAGCTCAGGAACAGCGCCCAGGCCCTGAGTTCAAACCTCAAGACTGGCAAAAAAAAAAAAAAATCCCCAAAAGAGGTGAAAAACTTGTGTTTGTGAAATATGTGAAAAAGAGTTGACATCATAAATCAAAAGTTGGGTCCCTCACATCAGTTTTGTAAATGTCAGAGACCCTGTCCAGGGCAGCAAAGGAAATGAGTTTTTAGCAGATGAGGAACTGTTTACCTGTGGGAGCAGACACGTGGCACTGCTTTAAGAAATTTGTGCCTTGGGCTGGGAAGGTGGCTCAGTGGTAGAGTGCTTGCCTTGCATGCCTGAGGCCCTGGGTTCGATTCCTCAGCACCACATAAGCAAAACAAAGAAAAAAGCCGGAAGTGGCACTGTGGCTCAAGTGGTAGAGTGCTAGCCTTGAGCTGAAGAGCTGAGGGACAGCGCCCAGGCCCAGATCAAGCCCCATGACCGGACCCAAAAAAAAAAAAGAAATTTGTGCCTTTGGCTGGGAAGGTGGCTCAGCAGTAGGGTGCTTGCCTTGCATTCATGAGGCCCTGGGTTCGATTCCTCAGCACCACATAAGCAGAAAAAAAAAGACAGAAGTGGCGCTGTGGCTCAAGTGGTAGAGCGCTAGCTTTGAGCTGAAGAGCTGAGGGACAGCGCCCAGGCCCAGAGTTCAGGCCCCACGACCGGATCCACAAAAAAAAAAAAAAAAAAGAAAGAAATTTGTGCCTTAGGTGAGACAGGAAGGATATTTGAGGGGACTGTCTAGGATGTAGGTGTCCCCAAGCACATCAGTTTGAGGCAGGGAAGCTTTGTGCCTTAACCTCTAGTGGTGGTTAGTAACAAGAAACTAGACCAGTTTTTCCTCTGTCTTTCCAGCCCTCTTTTCCTCCCCCCACCTCTTTTTTCTTTTGTGCCAGTTTGAACTCAAGGACTCATGCTCTCCCCCTTGGCTTTTTTTTTTTTTTTCCTGCTCAAGGCTAGCACTCTACCCCTTGAGCCAGCCACAGCTTCTCTTACTGCTTGGGCTGGCTTTTTGAGTTATGATCTTTCGATCTGAGCATCCTGAGTAGGAAGGAGCACCTGGCCCTAAGACCACTTAAGGATCATATAGAGACATGTCCCCAAATTCACTGCTAGTTAGAACACAAAAGAAGCTTAAAAGTGCCACAAAGGCCAGGCACTGGTGGCTCATGCCTGTAATCCTAGCTACTCAGGAGGCTGAGATCTGAAGACCATGGTTCAAAGTCAGCCAGGCAGTAAAGTCCATGAGACCCTTACCTCCAATAAACCACCAGAAAATTGGAAGTGGCGCTGTCGCTCAAGTGGTAGAGCTCTTGATGTGAGCTGAAGAGCTCAGGGACAGTGCCCAGGCCCAGATTTTAAGCTCCAGGACCAACAAAAAAGAAAAAAGTGCCACAGAATAATCGCAAAGAATAGGGACATCATATTAAGCAACTAGGTTGAGCAAGACAGTATTAGGAATGGTGGAACTTGAATTTTGGGCTCAAATTCCACTTAAAAGGAATACAAGGTGGCTCAGTGGTAGAGCGCTTGCCTTGCATGCCTGAGGCCCTGGGTTCGATTCCTCAGCACCACATAAGCAAAATGAAAAAAGCCAGAAGTGACACTGTGGCTCAAGTGGTAGAGCGAGCGCTAGCCTTGAGCTGAAGAGCTGAGGGACAGCACCCACGCCCAGAGTTCAGGCCCCACGACTGGACTCAAAAAAAAAAAAAAAATCCCCTTAAGGAATACAAATCTTTAACTTTATATTTTTTAACTTTTTAATTCGTATTTCTATTTTTATTTTTTGGTAGGTCATAGGGCTTTAACTCTGGACCTAGGCGCTGTCCCTCAGCTCTTCAGCTCAAGGCTAGTGCTCTACCACTTGAGCCACAGTGCCACTTCTGTTTTTTTTTTCTGGTGGTTTATTGAAGGTAAGAGTTTCATAGACTTTCGTGCCTGGCCTGGCTTTGAACTGTGATCCTCAGATCTCAGACTCCCTAATAGCTAGGATTACAGGCATGAGCCACTGAGGCCTAGCTTAACTTTTATTTTTTATTTTTATTTTTTTTGTCATTCATGGGGCCTGAACTCTGGGCCTGGGCACTGTCCCTCAGCTCTTCAGCTGTAGGCTAGCGCTCTACTGCTTGAGCCTCAGCCCCACTTCTGGCTCTTTCTGCTTATGTGGTGCTGAGGAATTGAACCAGGACCTCATGCATGCAAGGCAAACACTCTACCACTGAGACACCTTCCCATTCCCCAACTTTTTTATTATTTTTTATTTTTATTTTGGTGGGTTGTGGGGCTTGAACTCTGGGCTTGGATGCTGTCCCTGCACTCCTCAGCTCAAGGCGAGCGCTCTACCGCTTGAGCCACAGTGCCACTTCCAGTTTTCTGGTGGTTTATTGGAGATAAGAGTCTCACAGACTTTCCTACCTGGGCTGGCTTTGAACCAAGATTCTCAGATCTCAGCCTCCTGAGTAGCTAGGATTACAGGCGTGAGCCACCAGTGCTCGGCAGCTTTTTTATTTTTAATGGGGTTGTACCTTAGAGCCCAGGCTGACCTTGAAATTTCGAGTCTCTTGACTAAGCCTCTGGAATATTGAGTTTATAGATGACATATTACAAGCTATTGACTCTCAAAAGCCTACTACTTAGGGGAAACAAAATACCCAGATTTTAAAAAACGGTAGAATGACTAGGAATGTGGCTCAGTGGTATAGTGCTTGCCTAGCATACATGCATGCATGAAGTCCTGGGTATGATTCCTCAGTATCACATGAACAGAAAAGGCCAGATGTGGTGCTGTGGCTCAGGTGGTAGAGTGCTAGCCTTGAGCACAGAGAGGCTCAGGAACAGTGCTCAGACCCTGAGTTCAAGCACCAGGACTGGCAAAGAAAAAAAAAGAAAAGAAATACAAGCTGACCATGGGTGATTCACACCTGTAATCCTAGCTGTTCAGGAACGTGAGATCTGAGGATCATAGTTCCAGGCCAAGCCTAAGCAGGAAAGTCCATGAGACTTTTTTTTTTTTTTTTGTCAGTTGTGGGGCTTGAACTCTGGGCCTAGGTGCTGTCCCTCAGCTCTTCAGCTCAAGGCTAGCACTCTACCACTTGAGCCATAGTGCCACTTCTGGTTTTCTGGTGGCTAATTGGAGATAATAGTCTTATGGATTTTTCCTGCCTGGGCTGGCTTTGAACCTTGATCCTCAGATCTCAGCCTCCTGAGTAGCTAGGATTACAGGTGTGAGCCACTGGCACTGGGCAGTCCATGAGACTTATCATCTGCAATTAATTAGCAAAAAGCCAGAAGTAGAACTGTGGTTCAAATGGTAGAACACTAGCCTTTGGGGGGGGGGGGGGGAGAAGCTTGCCAGTTTTGAGTGAAAGAGACAAGTGAGGGTCTGAATTCAAGCCCTAGTTCTAGCAAGAAAAAATTATCCAAAGCACATAGTGGATGACATCTCTGAGTTGGTTTGAAACTAGCATCTCATGTTTTACCATTGATCTATACCCTCTTCTGTCAATGCTAGCTTGAACCTAGTGTCTTCCAGATCTCACTGTCAAGTAGCATGAAGCCCCCCAGTGCCTGGCTCCCCATCCCTTTTTAACTTTTTTGTCCAGGGCTTAATTTTCTTCTTTTTTTTTTTTTGTCAGTTGTGGGGCTTGAACTCGGCTCAGCTCTTCAGCTCAAGGTTAATGCTCCATCACTTGAACGACAGCACCACTTCAGGTTTTCTGAGTGGTTTATTCGAGATAAGAGTCTAACAGATTTTCCTGCCTGGGCTGCCTTTGAACTGTGATCCTCAGATCTCAGCCTCCTGAGTAGCTAGAATTACAGGCGTGACCCACCAGCACTCAGCCAGGGCTTAATTTCCTAGAAAAGGCACTTGTGGTTTTACTGACCATATTTATAGTAAGGCATTATGAAATTACCTCAGTTGTACGTTTTTGATAGGCTAACACCAATTTTTTTGTTGTTGTTGTTGGTCGTGGGGCTTGAGCTCTGGGCTTGGGTGCTACTCAGGAGGCTGGGCTCTGAGGATCACAGTTCAAAGCCAGCCTAGGCAGAAAAGTCCATGAGACTCGTATCTCCAATTAACCATGAGGAAACCAGAAGGGCGCTGGGCTCAAGAGGTAGAGCACTTGCCTTGAGCTGAAGAGCTCAAGGACAGTACCCAGGCCCAGAGTCCAAACCCCATGA